ATGATGATGATGAAAGGTTGTCGTGAAATGAATAAATCCCCTTTTTTTTGCGTTTTAGGAGGAAATTTTAAGATACTCCGAACTCAAAGGTGGATGATTCATACATACCTTGATTACATGTATAGCTAAAATACAGTTAGATAAATAAACGCTGCCATATCCTACCTGAGCGTCAGATGGTACTCTACTCCTCTCTACCATCTTGCTGTGGTCACTGAAGTAGAGTAATCAATTGTCTAATCAATACAGTGCACACACACACACACACACACACACACACACTAAGATAGTCTAATCAACGAACAGAAGCCTTGCTTACCTTTGAGTATCTGGTCTCTGCTGCATTTGTTTCCATTGGGAACTTTGCTGATTGTTGTGCTGCTGCAAAATCATTACAACAAATAGAATGAATGGATTAACTTTACATTCCCCGAGATACAGTCTCCCACATTTTCGAGGAATCTTTAGTAGGGATYACAGACTTGCAATGACCCATCAGTWCTCCCCTATCATCCTTAGATCCGTTACAGTTTAGAGCTCATGTACAAAAACGTTATTACAGCACCAGTTGAGATGCAAAATGGGAATTTCTAAACTCTGGTGCTTACTTTCTTTTTCTTCTTCTTTTTCTCCCTCTTTTCTGATCCATGAGTCCCTCGAGGTTGACTCTCTTCACCAACTGCACTTTCTGGTTTCCTTTGAATAGAAATCAGAATTAAAGGTCAGTCCATTACATCTACATATTAAGTTTTGACATCTATCAGAAGATGTTCCATTACATCTACATATTAAGTTTTGACATCTATAACAAAATGTTGGGTTCCGTTACACTTATGACGACTAGATAAGCTGTAATTACTTCAATGGATTACGGTGACCGTGAAATGTAGCGAAATTTTTCATACTCTCACAAACTCTTCCCTATTTCAATATTTTAAAAATATCCCAAAAACTTCTTTGTACAACTGGGCGTAGCTAGGGGCTGAAGCTCCCCCTTCATGGCAACAAAACGGCGGCTTTTTACATTTTATACTGTAATTTCAATTTTTTTCGTAAAAATAAAAATTKAAAATGAATGCCTGGTTATGCCCCTATTGTAAACACTGCCAGCAAATAAATACAAAAAATCTACCTTTGAGAATCTGAAATTGACGTTCTCTGTTTAGARTGCTGTCCAGGGAGGGGATAAGTGCTTTGCCCTGGCAACTGTCCCCCTTGGTCATAACTTGGTGACGTCACATCTGACGTTGAACCTACTCTATCGATTCCTGGACCATAATGCATTGGGAAGCTCGTTTGAGTAATATTGCTTGGACTTGAGTCTGAAAGGGAAACTCTTGTTAATAAACTCAAAATAATCATCTACTGAAAAGGTCAGTGGTTAAATTGCAGGATGTCATATTCATGGTTTCATTTGTTGCACAAATTACCTGTATATTGATTGGTTTTAGGGCGTCTTGAATCAAATGGTAACATCGACCCTTTGGTGTCCTTGTTTTTGATGTAATTCTGATCACCCAGCTACAAAGCAAAATTTTAAGATTATAAAGTTCAATCGCTGAAAGGGYGCTGGCAGCTTAATTTATGAATGTATCCCTAGAGGTATGAAATGGTGAATGAACAAATCTTGAGAGATAATCTGGTGCCATGAAGCTGAGAATAGAGAGGATCTTGAAGCTATGCCCTTGTMTCAGGCATAATGTTTTCCCATTTCAGACCAAGTGTAATTCTCCTGGGCCGAGTTGTTCAAAGCTGGATTAGCGCTAATCCAGAATTAACTCTATAGGTCTTATTAAGAGTTAACCCAGGATTAGCACTAATCSGGCTTYSAACAAYTGGGCCCTGAGAATATAATTCTTTGATTGAGTTGTATCATATTCATGTGTTTTTTTCATACATTACGCCCAAGCCAAAAAGGTCTATTCTATCAGTTTTGTTTTTCAGACAYGACTTGCCTTGCATTGATAGTGGAAAATCATGACATACTGTATGACCAACAATCGTATACCCACCTCATATCTGTTTAATCCATGCAAAGCTGGCTGTTGTCTGGACTTCATTGAACCATCCGTATCCTTTTTCTTATTCATTATGACTGACTTTGTTTTACGTATTTCTTCAGCGACTATTGATGAAGTGGGCACCTGTAACAAAACACTTTGGTTACTTACAACTCTCTGGATTCCTACTTCTGTGTTTAGAGYACTAACCTAATAATTCCTTTCAGAGTATTTGGAGTTTACTGAAGATATTGAATCAAATGTGTGACTGAAGAAAAGCGGCAACTTTCTAGGGGAGGGGACCACAGAAGGCAGTAAAGCAAAAGATATGCAGAAGGATATGTTGAGTGCAACACTAGCATCACTAAATAAGAACAAATCATTGTTTTGATGTTTGTGCAACATTGTAGCATTGCAAGTTGCAACAACAAAAARRARCTAGCTCTCTCTACTCATTGCATGCAGGGTGATAACACAAGCAACATTAGCTATTGAACTTGCAATACACTGATGCTGCATGTGTGAGACACAAAACTAGTACGGCATTTCGTGACTAAGTCTTTATGTAAATATTAGAGTGTGTGACGAAATGTTCATGTAACCAGATAGTAGTTTTGTAACCAGAGATATAGATAGGGATATATTCTTACAGACATGTACTGAGCATAGATCTCAAAGAAAGAAGCAGTAAATATAAGTTCCAGCAAAAACGTGTCAACTATTGGTTCGAACGGGATCAAAAGTACCGTGTGTAACACATGACACATTGCACGATTATATTGCTTATATTACTGCACCTTAACTATTAAAGCATTAAAAAAATATGTTTARATATACACCTTTTTCAAAAAACGCTGTCATCATGGCCAAAGGGGATAGGTGATAGGTCATTCTGAGACAGAAATTGAATCAGTCTTAAAACTAAGGTGCACAATACAAAATAAAATTATCGTTATTGTTATTATTAAGGTCCATTCTTGCTGAGAATAGTWAGAAACACAAGTCATTTCAGCTATCATTGGATCTTGGAATGACCTTTCTCCTATTGCCTTTCGCCTATTGCCTATCGCCTTTGGTGATGACAATGTTTTTTGGAATAGTCGTATATTTCTCTTTTTTACCTTTTGTTGTTGTCCAGCGCCAGKAAAGAAACTGTAGTTTGCATTAACAAAATGGCTAAATGTATTAGAACCCGCCTTAGTCTTGGACTGAGGGAGATCCTCTCTTGCTTCTTGTTTGTCAATACTTTTCTCATTTGATAATTCCATCTTACTAAAATCCATGTTATCAGAGCTTTCACTGCTTTCTTGCTCCATATTAAAAGAACTGTCCCTCGGCGACTCTATGTTAAATGCATTATGATCATTTTCTGAATTGTCTGACATTGATAGACTCTTTGAGTTCGAACTGTCCGTGCTCTTAGGAGTTAACAAGCTTGACTTGGTCATTTTATTTCTGTCGAATTCTTGATCCATTTTATTATTGCTYGAGTCCTTTCCCATGTGGGATGCAGTGGCTGTTTTAATAGATACAAAGTCATTGGTCTGCATCTCATGCTTGATATCACTGGTCACTTTTAAAGGCTTTGGTTCTTGTGAGCTTCCAGCCTTGGCGTCACGAAAACTGGATTCATTTTGGGGGTTTTCTCTACGCCTTGTGCTTTTGTGGTTTGAATGATTTTTAGATTTAGAATGTGGAATTGGTGCAAGGGATGGATTTTCTTTGACTYTTTGTTCATATTTTTCTCTTTCTATTTGGAATGCTGGATGATTAAAGCATTCTTCTACAGTTGCTCTTTCTTCAGGATCTAATTTTAATGTTGCCTGTAAAAGGAAGGCACTTTTAATCAGTATGGCTGAGGAAAAACTGAGCCACCCAGTTTTAAAACTGATGCCACACTGCAGGGGGACAATTCTGATTGGAAAAGGTGAGGGGATTCTTGTTGYGTACCTCTTACAGGGGAGTCATGAATCTAAAAGTTCCACCAGAGTTACAAGCTGGTATAGCTCTTAGGATGTTTGTCAGGTAATAAGATACCTGAGGTTAAATTATGATAGCTGGATTGACATTTATAAATTAAGGATATTTTATTTTTGATTCATCATCTAATCATAATAAATAGAGATGATCTTAAAATGAAATTATTTAAGARTTGGTACCTCTTAGGAATAAAAATCATTAGTTGCCACACCCACCTGGACAGTACTCAGGTGCAACAAGCATCCCTGCCCTTTTATTTATGCGTGTCTACCCCAAGTCCATACTTGCTGATGCAAAGTACACAATGTGTCCCAGAATGCACTTTTTATGAATTTTGTAAAAAAGTTGATTGGATGAAGCACTACAAAAGGGTGATTAATATTTATGTTGTTTATACCTGCATAAAATTCTGCAATGGTCCACTAATTATACCAAGGTATTTTCTGTTCAATGTCTGAGGGTACATCACAGCAGGAAACTAAAAAAATATATAATTATATTAGAAGATAATATAGGTAAGTTGTAGTGCTTGGGAACGAGGTTATTCCGGGCGAAAGCCCTTGGAATTAAATTCGGAAAAATTAATTTCCGACCTC